TGTGATGTGACTCGGTGCGTGCGTGTGTGTGACTCGGTGTGCTGATCGGTGTGTCGTGTGTGACTCGGTGTGTGACTCGGTGCGTGTGTGTGACTCGCGGTGGTGACTCGGTGCGTGTGTTGACTTGTGTGTGACTCGGTGCGTGTGTGTGTGCGTGACTCGGTGTGCTCGGTGTGTGACTCGTGTGTGTGTGACTCGGTGTGTGACTCGGTGCGTGACTGTGTGACTCGGTGTGTGACTCGGTGCGTGTGTGTGTGTGTGACTTGTGCATGACTCGTGACTCGGTGTGTGACTCGGTGTGTGTGTGACTCGGTGCGTGTGTGACTCGGTGTGTGACCGGTGCGTGTGTGACTCGGTGTGTGACTCGGTGTGTGTGACTCGTGTGTGACTCGGTGTATGTGACTCGGTGTGTTGTACTGACTCGGTGTATGTGACTCGGTGTACTCGTGACTCGTGCGTATGTGACTCGGTGTCGCGTATGGCTCGGTGCGCGGGCGTGTGACTCGGTGTATGTGACTCGGTGCACGTGTATGTGACTCGGTGTGTGTGTGTGTGACTCGGTGTATGTGACTGGGTGCGTGTGTGTGACTCGGTGCGTGTGTATGTGACTCGGTGTATGTGACTCGGTGTATGTGACTGGGTGCGTGTGTGTGACTCGGTGCTCGTGTATGTGACTGGGTGCGCGGGTGTGTGCGCAGGTACGTGTTCCCGCCCTTCTCTCTGTGCTGGAGCGTGTTCCTGGACCTGAAGCTCCGTGTTCCGTGTCCGACGCTCGATTACGTCCGAGCCAACTACGGCGACGGCTGGAGCGTTCCCATGACGACCTGGGACTGGAAGACGTCGCCTAGCAACGTCCTCGACAACGGGGCGTGGCCCGTGGACCAGTGGGACGAGGTCATCCAGGTGTTCTGACCAATCACAGAGCGGGAGCAGCTCAAACGGACCAATCACAGACCAGCGCAGGATTTCCCTCTGACCACAGGGACTAAACCAGGACTAAACCAGGACTAAACCAGAACTAAACCAGGACTAAACCAGGACTAAACCAGAACTAAACCAGAACTAAACCAGGACTGAACCAGGACTAAACCAGAACTAAACCAGGACTAAACCAGGACTAAACCAGAAACTAAACCAGGACTAAAAGACTAACAGAACTAAACCAGGACTAAACCAGGACTGAACCAGGACTAAACCAGAACTAAACCAGGACTGAACCAGAACTAAACCAGGACTAAACCAGGACAGAACCAGGACTGAACCAGAACTAAACCAGGACTAAACCAGGACTGAACCAGAACTAAACCAGAAGTAAACCAGGACTAAACCAGGACTAAACCAGAACTAAACCAGTAAAGTTTTCTGGATGAATGTTTGTGTAATAAAGTTTCATGTTTCTATTTATTTTAGTCTCTCGTGTCTGTGTGTGTGTGTGTGTGTGTGTGTGTGTGTGTGTCTGTGTGTGTGTGTGTGTGTCTGTGTGTGTGTCTGTGTGTGTGTGTGTGTGTGTGTGTCTGTGTGTGTGTGTGTGTGTGTGTGTGTCTGTGTGTGTGTGTGTGTGTGTGTGTGTGTGTGTCTGTGTGTGTGTGTGTCTGTGTGTGTTGTGTGTGTGTGTGTGTGTGTGTGTGTGTGTGTGTGTGTGTGTGTGTGTGTGTGTGTGTCTGTGTGTGTGTTGTGTGTGTGTGTGTGTGTGTCTGTGTGTGTGTGTGTGTGTGTGTGTGTGTGTGTGTGTGTGTGTGTGTGTGTGTGTGTGTGTGTGTGTGTGTGTGTTGTGTGTTCAGAATGTGGAACATCTCTTCATAACATCATGTTCCTTCCAGTCCACAGGTCACTTCAGGTCACTTCAGGTCACCACAGGTCACTTCAGGTCACTTCAGGTCACCTCAGCTCACCACAGGTCACTTCAGGTCACCACAGGTCACCTCAGGTCACTTCAGCGTCTCGTGTCAAACCAACGAGCTGCACTTCACTGAATAAAGTCGAGCTGTTTAATGTCACACTGTGGAACATTCCAGCAAGAACAGAGACGTCTCCATAGAAACAAATCACAAGTTCCACACTGCACCGTCATGTTCTACTGTTCTACTGTTTTCATGTTCTACTGTTTTTTCCTTAAATCGATAAATCGAGTAGAAAAACACAGATCGGGTCTGAGGTTTAACTTTTTTATTTTTACATTTATTCCTCACAGTCACATGTTCACAATACTCGCTCCTGATTGGTCAAGAGTCACATGTTCACAATACTCGCTCCTGATTGGTCGAGAGCCAAACACAAAGTTTATAAATAAACAAAAACACAATTTTTAGGATTTTTTCACAAAACACAAATGAAAACACGACACGTCCACAACCAGAACTGAACCAGGACTAAACCAGAACTAAACCAGGACTGAACCAGGACTAGACCAGGACTAGACTAGGACTGAACCAGGACTAGACCAGGTCTGAGGAAAGATCCCCCATGTTTTGGTCACATCCTGGTCCTTCTCCTGGTCTCGGGTCTTGGGTCTCGGTCCGGGTCCCGGTCCGGGTCCCGGGTCTACCCCTGGACCCGGTAGTTGGCGTGGAACTCGGGCTGGATGTCGCAGACCCTCTTGAGGAGCTCGTTCAGAACCGCGTCCTTGTTCCCTTTGAAACTGGCCTGGATCCGACTCATCCGCTCGGCCGTGTCCCGGTCCACCTCCACCGCGCTGTTCCCGTGAGAACCCAGCGCCTGCAACGGAACGTGGGTCAGAACCACAGGAGAACAACCCCAGGAGAACAACCCCAGGAGAACAGGAAACAACCCCAGGAGAACAACCCCAGGAGAACAACCCCAGAGAACAACCCCCAGGAGAACAACCCCAGGAGAACAACCCCAGGAGAACAACCCAGGAGAAAACCCCAACCCCAGAAGAACAACCCCAACCCCAGGAGAACAACCCCAGGAGAACAACCCCAGGAGAACAACCCCAGGAAACAACCGAGAACAACCCCAGGAGAACAACCCCAGGAGAACAACCCCAGGAGAACCCCAGAAGAACAACCCCAGGAGAACAACCCCAGAGAGAGAACAACCCCAGGAGAAGAACAACCCCAGGAGAACAACCCCAGAAGAACAACCCCAGGAGAACAACCCCAGAGAAACAACCCCAGAAGAACAACCCCAGAAGAACAACCCCAGGAGAACAACCCCAGGAGAACAACCCCAGAAGAACAACCCCAGGAGAACAACCCCAGGAGAACAACCCCAGGAGAACAACCCCAGAAGAACAACCCCAGAAGAACAACCCCAGGAGAACAACCCCAGAAGAACAACCCCAGGAGAACAACCCCAGGAGAACAACCCCAGGAGAACCAGAGGAGAGAGCAGAGACACGGGAACAGACAAATAGTAGTTGTAGTTGTAGTATCTGTAGTACTTGTTGTAGTAGTAGTAGTAGTAGTATCTGTAGTACTTGTAATAGTAGTAGTATTTGTAGTATCTGTAGTAGTAGTAGTATCTGTAGTAGTAGTAGTATCTGTACTTGTAGTAGTAGTAGTAGTATTTGTAGTACTAGTACCTGTAGTAGTAGTAGTATCTGTAATACTTGTTGTAGTAGTAGTAGTAGTAGTATCTGTAGTACTAGTATCTGTAGTAGTAGTAGTATCTGTAGTACTTGTTGTAGTAGTAGTATCTTGTAGTAGTAGTTGTAGTAGTAGTATCTGTAGTACTTGTTGTAGTAGTAGTATCTGTAGTACTTGTTGTAGTAGTAGTATCTGTAGTACTTGTTGTAGTAGTAGTAGTAGTAGTATCTGTAGTACTTATTGTAGTAGTAGTAGTATCTGTAGTACTTGTTGTAGTAGTAGTAGTAGTAGTATCTGTAGTACTTGTTGCAGTAGTAGTAGTATTTGTAGTACATGTAGTAGTAGTAGTATTTGTAGTACTTTGTAGTAGTTGTGTGTAGTAGTAGTAGTATTTGTAGTACTTGTGGTAGTAGTAGTAGTAGTATTTGTAGTACATGTTGTAGTAGTAGTAGTTTTTGTAGTACTTGTTGTAGTAGTAGTATTTGTAGTACTAGTTGTTGTAGTAGTAGTAGTAGTAGTATTGTAGTAGTAGTATTTGTAGTACATGTAGTAGTAGTATTTGTAGTACATGTAGTAGTAGTAGTAGTATATGTAGTAGTAGTAGTAGTAGTAGTAGTAGTAGTATTTGTAGTACATGTAGTAGTAGTAGTAGTATTTGTAGTACATGTAGTAGTAGTAGTATTTGTAGTACATGTTGTAGTAGTAGTATTTGTAGTACATGTTGTAGTAGTATTTGTAGTACTTGTGGTAGTAGTAGTATTTGTAGTACTACTTGTGGTAGTAGTATTTGTAGTACTTGTGTAGTAGTAGTAGTAGTAGTAGTAGTAGTAGTATTTGTAGTACTTGTTGTAGTAGTAGTATTTGTAGTACTTGTGGTAGTAGTAGTATTTGTACTACTTGTGGTAGTAGTAGTATTTGTAGTACTTGTGTAGTAGTAGTAGTAGTAGTAGTAGTAGTAGTAGTATTTGTAGTACTTGTTGTAGTAGTAGTAGTAGTAGTAGTAGTATTTGTACTACTTGTGGTAGTAGTAGTATTTGTAGTACTAGTAGTAGTAGTAGTAGTAGTAGTAGTATTTGTAGTACTCACGGCGGCCTCTTTGGTCTTGAACTCTTTCTCTCTCTGGAGTCTGTACTGTTTGTTGTAGTAGTAGTAGTAGTAGTAGTAGTAGTAGTAGTAGTAGTAGTAGTAGTAGTAGTAGTAGTAGTAGTAGCTGTAGTAGTAGTAGTAGTATTTGTAGTACTTGTTGTAGTAGTATTTGTAGTACTCACGGCGGCCTCTTTGGTCTTGAACTCTTTCTCTCTCTGGAGTCTGTACTGTTTGTTGTTGTAGTAGTAGTTGTAGTAGTAGTATTAGTGGCTGTAGTAGTAGTAGTAGTAGTAGTATTTGTAGTACTTGTTGTAGTAGTAGTATTTGTAGTACTCACGGCGGCCTCTTTGGTCTTGAACTCTTTCTCTCTCTGGAGTCTGTACTGTTTGTTGTTGTAGTAGTAGTAGTAGTAGTAGTAGTATTAGTGTAGCTGTAGTAGTAGTAGTAGTAGTAGTAGTAGTAGTAGTAGTAGTATTTGTAGTACTTGTTGTAGTAGTAGTATTTGTAGTACTCACGGCGGCCTCTTTGGTCTTGAACTCTTTCTCTCTCTGGAGTCTGTACTGTTCGATCTCGGCCTGAGCTTCTTCTTTGGCTTGTTTCAGACGACGGTTCTTCCCTGAAAAACACAAACTTCACTTTAACTTCAGACGACCAGAGTCACAACATCAACCACCGAGTCACACCGAGTCACACCGAGTCACAGACAACACACTGAGTCACACCGAGTCATAGACAACACACCGGGTCACACTGGGTCACACAGTGCAATAACACGGCGCGATAACACGGCGCGATAACACGGCGCACTAACACGGCGCAATAACACGGCGCACTAACACTGTGCAATAACACTGTGCACTAACACTGTGCAATAACACGGCACAATAACACTGTTCAATAACACGGCACAATAACACTGTGCAATAACACGGCACAATAACACTGTGCAATAACAAGGTGCACTAACACTGTGCAATAACACAACGCACTAACACTGTGCAATAACATGGCACAATAGCACGGCGCAATAACACTGTGCGATAACACGGTGCGATAACACTGTGCAATAACACAGCGCAATAACACTGTGTGTGTGTGTCCCCGTGTGTGTCCCCGTGTGTGTCCCCAGTGTGTGTCCCCCCGTGTGTGTCCCCCGTGTGTGTCCCCCGTGTGTGTCCCCGTGTGTGTCCCAGCGTGTGTGTCCCCCAGTGTGTGTCCCCCGTGTGTGTCCCCGTGTGTGTCCCCAGCGTGTGTGTCCCCGTGTGTGTCCCGTGTGTGTGTGTCCCCCGTGTGTGTCCCCGTGTGTGTCCCAGCGTGTGTGTCTCCGTGTGTGTCCCGTGTGTGTCTCCGTGTGTGTCCCCGTGTGTGTCCCCGTGTGTGTCCCAGCGTGTGTGTCCCCCGTGTGTGTCCCAGCGTGTGTGTCCCCCGTGTGTGTCCCCGTGTGTGTCCCCGTGTGTGTCCCCGTGTGTGTCCCCGTGTGTGTCCCCGTGTGTGTCCCAGCGTGTGTGTCCCCCGTGTGTGTCCCCGTGTGTGTCCCAGCGTGTGTGTCCCCCGTGTGTGTCCCCCGTGTGTGTCCCAGCGTGTGTGTCCCCGTGTGTGTCCCCGTGTGTGTCCCAGCGTGTGTGTCCCAGCGTGTGTGTCCCCCGTGTGTGTCCCAGCGTGTGTGTCCCCGTGTGTGTCCCCGTGTGTGTCCCAGCGTGTGTGTCCCAGCGTGTGTGTCCCCCGTGTGTGTCCCAGCGTGTGTGTCCCCGTGTGTGTCCCGTGTGTGTGTGTGTCCCAGCGTGTGTGTCCCCCGTGTGTGTCCCAGCGTGTGTGTCCCCCCGGGCCTCGGCGCGTCTCTCCCGGATCACACTCACTCTTTCGGGCCTCCGCCACCTTCTCGGCCGCTCTCTTCTCCGCCTGGAGCAGCTGCTGGATGCCCTGGGACTGAGACGCCATTTTGAGACCGGGACCGCGGTGGATCAACGCTTAGAACCGAAACAGAACCGGACAGAACCGAAACAGAACCGAGAGCCGAGGAGCAGTGAAACGCAGCGACAGAAGGTCAGATCTCCGCAGTCAGCTGACCCACGTCACGTGTCACATGGTCACGGATCACGTGGTTACGTCACGAGGCTTCCGCTTTTATTTATCTATGTATATTTATCTATCTATTTTAATTATCTTTTTATAATTATCTATCTATTTATCAAGCCTTTATTTATTTTATTTAGCATTTATTTATTTATTTACTTATTTATTTGTTCATATTTGCATTTATTATTTAGCCGTAGCTTTTATTTACTTTAATGATCTAATTCGTTATTTATTTATCTTTATAAATGATCTTTTTTTAATCATGGTGAAAATAAACAAACAAAAACAAAAAAAACGTAAAAATATGTGAGAGTTTATTTGTGCGCAGGCGCAGTCTGTTCTGCTCTGACCTGAGCTGAATATTTGTATATTTTTAATCTTTGGTTTAATTTAATTATTTGTTTTGTTCATTATTTTCAGTCTTTTACATATTTATCTGTAGAGAAATAAGTTGAACAAAAATAAATCCTCGTTTGACTCACGTGACTCAGCTGTTTTCACGTTTCCGGCTCGTTTTTTTTTTTTTTTTTTCAGAGCGGAACCTTCGAGCGCCGCTGTTTCCCCCCGGACCGTCGCGTCTCTCGGTGCAGCTGCTGTTTTGGTCTCGTGCTCCCGGTGCTCCCCGGTCCTAACGCGCTTCTCCGTTAAACCCGCGTGACCCCCCCGTGACCCCGCCGTGACCGCGCCCAGCACCGGGACCATGACGTCAGGCGGCGGGAGCGCGCTCTTCTCCGGGTTCCGCGTGCTCGGGCTCTACTCCAACCACGTGCCGCACGCGCTCCGCTACCATCACAAGCACCGCGAGTTCTACGTGGTGACGTCAGTAGGAAAATGCTTCCACACGTACAACGTAAGACCCCAGTGACCTCTGACCCTCTGACCCCAGTGACCTCTGACCTGACCTCTGACCCTCTGACCTGAACTTGTGTCTTGTGTTTCAGGTGAATCGCCTCGGGATCGTCTCCGTCAGTGAGTCTCAGACCAGAACTAAACCAGGACTAAACCAGGACTAAACCAGAACTAAACCAGACTAAACCAGAACTAAACCAGAGACTAAACCGAACTAAACCGGGACTAAACCGGAACTAAACCGGAACTAAACCGGGACTAAACCGGGACTAAACCGGAACTAAACCGGGACTAAACCGGGACTAAACCAGGACTAAACCGGAACTAAACCGGGACTAAACCGGGACTAAACCAGAACTAATGGTGTGTGTAAATCTGTGCTCTGTGATTGGTCGTCTCTGTTGCTAGGTAACAGTCTGTCAGAGGACATCTCGTGTTTGGCGGCAGATCGGATGTTGGTTTTCGCTGCCGCAGGACGAGAGATCAGCGCCTTCGCCAGGAACAAAGAGGTACTGCACCTGTTGCACCTGTCACACATGTAACACCTGTCACACATGTAACACCTGTCACACATGTAACACCTGTCACACATGTAACACCTGTAACATCCATCCATTTTCGTCCGCTTATCCGGGGTCGGGTCGCGGGGGCAGCAGCCTAAGCAGGGACTCCCAGACTTCCTTCACCCCAGACACGTCCTCCAGCTCCTCCGGGGGGACCCCGAGGTGTTCCCAGGCCAGTCCAGAGACATAGTCCCTCCAGTGTGTCCTGGGTCTTCCCCGGGGCCTCCTCCCGGTGGGACATGAACACCTCCTGAGGGACACGTCCAGGAGGCATCAGAACAGATGCCCGAGCCTCAACTGGCTCCTCTCCACGTGGAGGAGCAGCGGCTCTACTCCGAGCTCCTCCCGTGTGACTGAGCTCCTCACTCTGTCTCTAAGGGAGACGCCCAGACGCCCTGCGGAGGAAACTCATTTCGAGCGCTTGTATCCGCGATCTCGTCCTTTCGGTCACTACCCAGAGCTCATGACCAGAGGTGAGAGGAGGAACGAAGACTGACCGGTAAATCGAGAGCTTCACCTTTCGACTCAGCTCCTCTTCACCACAACGACCGATACAGCGACCGCATCACTGCAGACGCTGCACCTGTCCACCTGTCAATCTGCCCACGCTGCACCTGTCCACCTGTCAATCTCACGTTCCATCCTCCCCTCACTCGTGAACAAGACCCCGAGATACTTGAACTCCTCCACTTGAGGCAGAGACTCCCACCCACCCGGAGAGGGCAAGACACCTTTTTCCGGTCGAGAACCACGACCTCAGACTTAGAAGAGCTGATCTTCATCCCAGCCGCTTCACACTCGGGTCAAACCGCCCCAGTGCTGCAGGTCCTGGCTCGATGAAGCCAACAGGACAACATCGTCCGCAAACATCAGAGATGAGATCAGAACCGGTGACAGGTGCAGCCCTGGCGGAGTCCAACATGCACCGGGAACAGGTCTGACTTACTGCCGGCAACGAACACAGCTCCTGCTCCGGTCATACAGGGACCGGACCCCAGACTCCCAGAGCACCTCCCACAGGACACCACGAGGGACTGTGTCACCTGAGCAGAACATAAACAGTAGAACATGGAGAACATAAACAGGAGAACGTGGAGAACATAAACAGGAGAACGTGGAGAACATAAACAGGAGAACGTGGAGAACATAAACAGTAGAACGTGGAGAACATAAACAGTAGAACATGTGAGGAGAACGTGTTTGTTTTTCAGGTGGTGCAGTGTTACCGTGGACACGAGCAGGAAGTGCGTCATTTGCTTCCTCTGGGCGATCAGCTGATCTCCTCGGACGCCGGCGGTGACGTCATCGTGTGGGACGTGCAGAGCGCCGGTAAGCCCCGCCCCCCAGTAAGCCCCACCCCCCAGTAAGGTCCCGCCCCCAGTAAGCCCACCCCCAGTAAGCCCACCCCCACCCCCCTCGTTGTCGTTTTCATCCCTCGTTCTCGTCCCTCGTTCTCATCCTCGTTCTCGTTCTCATCCTCGTTCTCGTCGTTCTCATCCCTCGTTCTCGTCGTCGTCTCGTCTTCGTTTCTCGTCATTCTCCCTCGTTCTCGTTCGTTCTCGTCGTCCCTCGTTCTCGTCGTCGTCTCATCCTCGTTCTCGTTCTCATCCTCGTTCTCGTCGTTCTCGTCCCTCGTTCTCGTCATTCTCATCCCGTTCTCGTCGTTCTCGTCCTCGTTCTCGTCGTCGTTCTCATCCCTCGTTCTCGTTCTCATCCGTCGTTCTCGTCGTTCTCCTATCCCTCGTTCTCGTCGTTCTCATCCTCGTTCGTCATCCGTCGTCTCGTCGTTCTCGTCGTTCTCGTTCTCGTTCTCGTCGTTCTCTCGTTCTCGTCATTCTCATCTCGTCTCGTCGTTCTCGTCTCGTTCTCTCGTTCTCCATCCCTCGTTCTCGTTCGTTCTCATCCCTCGTTCTCGTCGTCTCGTCTCGTTCTCGTCGTTCTCATCCCTCGTTCTCGTTCTCGTCGTTCGTTCTCGTCGTTCTCATCCTCGTTCGTCGTCTCGTCCTCGTTCTCGTCGTTTCTCTCTCGTCTCGTCATCTCGTCCCTCGTTCTCGTCGTTCTCATCCCTCGTTCTCGTCATTCCATCCGTTTCTCGTCGTTCTCATCCTCGTTCTCGTCGTTCTCATCCCTCGTCTCGTCGTTCTCGTCCTCGTCTGTCTCTCATCCTCGTTCTCGTCGTTCTCGTTCCTCGTCGTCTCATCCCTCGTTCTCGTCGTTCGTTCTCGTCGTTCTCGTTCTCGTTCTCGTCGTTCTCGTCCCTCGTTCTCGTCGTTCTCGTCCTCGTTCTCGTTCTTCTCATCTCGTTCTCGTCGTTCTCATCCCTCGTTCTCGTCGTCGTTCTCACCCTCGTTCTCGTCGTTCTCATCCCTCGTTCGCATCCCTCGTTCTCGTCGTTCTTGTTCTCGTCCCTCGTTCTCGTTCGTTCTCGTCGTTCTCGTCCGTCGTTCTCTCCCGTTTCGTTTCTCATCCCTCGTTCTCGTCGTTCTCATCCTCGTTCGTCGTCTTTCTCGTCCCGTCGTTCTCGTCTTTCTCCTCCCTCGTTCTCGTCGTTCTCATCCCTCGTTCTCGTCATCGTTCTCATCCCTCGTTCTCGTCGTTCTCATCCCTCGTTCTCGTCGTTCTCATCCCTCGTTCTCGTCGTTCTCTCGTCCCTCGTTCTCGTCGTTCTGTCCCTCGTTCTCGTCGTCGTTCTCATCCCTCGTTCTCGTTCGTTCTCATCCCTCGTTCTCGTCTCGTTCTCGTCATTTCTCGTCGTCGTTCTCATCCCTCGTTTCTCGTCGTTCTTCTCGTCGTCTCATCCTCGTTCTCGTCGTTCTCGTCCCTCTCGTTCTGTTCTCGTCGTCATCTCGTCCCTCGTTCTCATCCCTCGTTCTCGTCGTTCTCATCCCTCGCTCTCGTCGTCGTTCTCATCCCTCGTTCTCGTCGTCGCTCTCATCCCTCGTTCTCGTCGTTCTCCTCGTCCTCGTTCTCGTCATTCTCATCCCTCGTTCTCGTCGTCATTCTCATCCCTCGTTCTCGTCGTTCTCATCCCTCGTTCTCGTCGTTCTTGTTCTCGTCCCTCGTTCTCGTTGTTCTCGTCCCTCGTTCTCGTCATTCTCGTCCCTCGTTCTCGTCGTTCTCATCCCTCGTTCTCATCGTTCTTGTTCTTGTTCTTGTCCTCGTTCTCGTCCCTCGTTCTCGTCATTCTCGTCCCTCGTTCTCGTCGTTCTCATCCCTCGTTCTCGTCGTTCTTGTTCGTCGTCCCTCGTTCTCGTCGTCGTTCTCATCCCTCGTTCTCGTCGTTCTCATCCCTCGTTCTCGTCGTTCTCGTTCTCGTCCCTCGTTCTCGTCGTTCTCGTCCTCGTTCTCGTCGTTCTCATCCCTCGTTCTCGTCCCGTTCTCGTCGTTCTCGTCCCTTCGTCGTTCTCGTCGTTCTTCGTTCTCGTTCCTCGTTCTCGTCGTTCTCATCCCTCGTTCTCGTCGTTCTTGTTCTCATCCCTCGTTCTCGTCGTTCTTGTTCTCGTCCCTCGTTTCTCGTCGTTCTTGTTCTCATCTCGTTCTCGTCCGTCTTGTTCTCATCCTCGTTCTCGTCGTTCTTCGTTCTCGTCCCTCGTCTCGTCGTCGTTCTCATCCCTCGTTCTCGTCGTTCTCGTCGTCTTCTCGTCCCTCGTTCTCGTCGTTCTCGTCGTTCTCGTCCCTCGTTCTCATCCCTCGTTCTCCGTCGTTCTTGTTCTCGTCCCTCGTTCTCGTCGTTCTCGTCCCTCGTTCTCGTCGTTCTCGTCCCTCGTTCTCGTCGTTCTCATCCCTCGTTCTCGTCGTTCTTGTTCTCGTCCCTCGTTCTCGTCGTTCTCGTCCCTCGTTCTCGTCGTTCTCATCCCTCGTTCTCGTCGTTCTCGTTCTCGTCCCTCGTTCTCGTCGTTCTCATCCCTCGTTCTCGTCGTTCTCGTTCTCGTCCCTCGTTCTCGTCGTTCTCGTCCCTCGTTCTCGTTCTCATCGTTTCTCGTCCTCGTTCTCGTCGTTCTCGTCGTCGTTCTCATCCCTCGTTCTCGTCATTCTCGTCCCTCGTTCTCATCCCTCGCTCTCGTCGTCGTTCTCATCCCTCGTTCTCGTCGTCGTTCTCGTCCCTCGTTCTCGTCGTTCTCATCCCTCGTTCTCGTCGTTCTTGTTCTCGTCCCTCGCTCTCGTCGTTCTCGTCCCTCGTTCTCGTCATTCTTGTCCCTCGTTCTCGTCGTTCTCATCCCTCGTTCTCATCCCTCGTTCTCGTTCTCATCCCTCGTTCTCGTCGTTCTCATCCCTCGTTCTCGTCGTTCTCATCCCTCGTTCTCGTCGTCGTCGTCGTTCTCATCCCTCGTTCTCGTCGTTCTCGTTCTCGTCCCTCGTCTCTCGTTCTCGTGTCGTCGTCTCTCGTCTCATCGTCGTTCGTCGTTCTCATCCCTCGTTCTCTTCGTTGTCGTTGTCGTTCTCGTTGTCCTCATTCTCATCGTTCTTGTCGTTTTCATCCCTCGTTCTTTGTCTTTCAGAGTTGTACGTGCGTTTGCACTTTGACCCGTTGACCTTTGACCCGTCTGTTCTGTTTCACCCGAGTTCGTATCTGAACAAAATCCTCCTGGGATCAAGACAAGGACCTCTGCAGCTCTGGAACGTCAAGACCAGGTCTGGGACCAGGACCGAGACCAGGACCGAGACTGAGACCAGGACCGAGACTGAGACCAGGACCGAGACTGAGACCAGGACCGAGACTGAGACCAGGACCGAGACTGAGACCAGGACCGAGACTGAGACTGAGACCGAGACTGAGACAAGGACGGAAACCAGGACCAAGACTGAGACCAAGACAAGGACCTCTGCAGCTCTGGAACGTCAAGACCAGGTCCAGGACTGAGACCAGGACTGAGACCAGGACTGAGACCAGACAGGACCGAGACTGAGACCAGAGACTGAGACCAGGACGAGACTGAGACCAGGACTGAGACCAGACCGAGACTGAGACAGGACTGAGACAGACACTGAGACAGGACCGAGACTGAGACCGAGACTGAGACAAGGACAGAAACCAGGACCAAGACTGAGACCAAGACAAGGACCTCTGCAGCTCTGGAACGTCAAGACCAGGTCCAGGACTGAGACCAGGACTGAGACCAGGACTGAGACCAGGACTGAGACCAGGACTGAGACAAGGACCTCTGCAGCTCTGGAACGTCAAGACCAGGTCCGGGACCGAGACCAGGACCGAGTCCGAGACTGAGACAGAGACCAGGACCGGGACTAAATCCAGGCCTGTTCCAGGTCTAACCCTGTGTTCTCGTTCTCAGTTCTCTGGTTTTCTCGTTCTCTGGTTGGGGCTGCGGCGTCACGGCGCTGGAACAGGTCTGTGCTCGCCGCTCCACAAACCCGACTCTGACCCCTTTCACACGTCAGAACAGTTAAAGCTTCACTGTGGGACATTTCACACGTCAGAACAGTTAAAGCTTCACTGTGGGACATTTCACACGTCAGAACAGTTAAAGCTTCACTGTGGGACATTTCACACGTCAGAACAGTTAAAGCTTCACTGTGGGACATTTCACACATCAGAACAGTTAAAGCTTCACTGTGGGACATTTCACACGTTAGAACAGTTAAAGCTTCACTGTGGGACATTTCACACGTCAGAACAGTTAAAGCTTCACTGTGGAACATTTCCTCGTTGTTAAAGTGACTCCGTTTCCCAGAGTCCCGCGGTGGACGTGGTGGGCGTCGGCACGGCAACAGGACGCATCATCATCCACAACATCCGATTGGACGAGACACTCATGAGCTTCACTCAGGACTGGGGACCAATCACAGCGCTCGCCTTCAGGACAGGTGTGTTCTCCTCACGGTTCCACATGTTCTCCTCGTGTTCTCCTCATTTTCTCCTCGTCTTCTCCTCACAGTTCCTCGTGTTCTCCTCATGTTCTCCTTGTGTTCTTCTCATGTTCTCCTCACGTTCTCCTTGTGTTCTTCTCATGTTCTCCTCACGTTCTCCTCGTGTTCTTCTCATGTTCTCCTCGTGTTCTCCTTGTGTTCTCCTCGTGTTCTCCTCATGTTCTCCTTGTGTTCTCCTCGTGTTCTCCTCGTGTTCTCCTTGTGTTCTCCTCGTCTTCTCCTCACAGTTCCTCGTGTTCTCCTCATGTTCTCCTCACGTTCTCCTTGTGTTCTTCTCATGTTCTCCTCGTGTTCTCCTCGTGTTCTCCTTGTGTTCTCCTCGTGTTCTCCTTGTGTTCTCCTCATGTTCTCCTCGTGTTCTCCTCACGTTCTCCTTGTGTTTTCCTCGTGTTCTTCTCATGTTCTCCTCACATTCTCCTCGTGTTCTCCTCATGTTCTCCTCGTGTTCTCATGTTCTTCTCATGTTCTCCTCACAGTTCCTCGTGTTCTCCTTGTGTTCTCCTTGTGTTTTCCTCGTGTTCTCCTCGTGTTCTCATGTTCTTCTCATGTTCTCCTCACAGTTCCTCGTGTTCTCCTCATGTTCTCCTTGTGTTCTCCTCTCGTTCTCCTGTTCTCCTCACGTTCTCCTCGTGTTCTCCTCTCATGTTCTCCTCGTGTTCTCCTCGTGTTCTCCTCTCCTCTCCTATGTTCTCCTCATGTTCTCTTCTCCTCGTGTTCTTCTCCTCCTCTGTTCTCCTCATGTTCTCCTCACAGTTCCTCGTGTTCTCCTCATGTTCTTCTCATGTTCTCCTCATGTTCTTCTCGTGTTCTCCTTATGTTCTCCTCGTGTTCTCCTCACGTTCTCCTTGTGTTCTCCTCACAGTTCCTCATGTTCTCCTTGTGTTCTCCTCATGTTCTCCTTGTGTTCTCATGTTCTCCTCGTGTTCTCCTCACGTTATCCTCGTGTTCTCCTCGTCTTCTCCTCACAGTTCCTCATGTTCTCCTCATGTTCTCCTTGTGTTCTCATGTTCTCCTCGTGTTCTCCTCATGTTCTCCTCACAGTTCCTCATGTTCTCCTCATGTTCTCCTCGTGTTCTCCTCGTGTTCTCCTCACAGTTCCTCATGTTCTTCTCATGTTCTCCTCGTGTTCTCCTCGTGTTCTCCTCACAGTTCTCGTGTTCTCCTCGTGTTCTCCTTGTGTTCTCCTTGTGTTTTCCTCGTGTTCTCCTCATGTTCTCCTCGTGTTCTCATGTTCTTCTCATGTTCTCCTCACAGTTCCTCGTGTTCTCATTTTCTCCTCGTCTTCTCCTCAGTTCCTCGTGTTCTCCTCACGTTCTCCTCATGTTCTCCTCGTGTTCTCCTTATGTTCTCCTCGTGTTCTCCTAATGTTCTCCTTGTGTTTTCCTCGTGTTCTTCTCATGTTCTCCTCACGTTCTCCTCACGTTCTCCTCGTGTTCTCCTCGTGTTCTCCTTGTGTTCTCTTTGTGTTCTCCTCGTGTTCTCCTCATGTTCTCCTCATGTTCTCCTCGTGTTCTCCTTATGTTCTCCTCGTGTTCTCCTAATGTTCTCCTTGTGTTTTCCTCGTGTTCTTCTCATGTTCTCCTCATGTTCTCCTCGTGTTCTTCTCATGTTCTCCTCGTGTTCTCCTCGTGTTCTCCTCACAGTTCCTCATGTTCTTCTCATGTTCTCCTCGTGTTCTCCTCGTGTTCTCCTCGTGTTCTCCTTGTGTTCTCCTTGTGTTCCTCTGTTCTCCTCGTGTTCTCCTCGTGTTCTCCTCATGTTCTCCTCGTGTTCTCCTCACAGTTCCTCATGTTCTCCTCGTGTTCTCCTCGTGTTCTCCTCCTCATGTTCTCCTCACAGTTCCTCATGTTCTCCTCGTGTTCTCCTCATGTTCTCCTCGTGTTCTCCTCACAGTTCCTCGTGTTCTCCTCGTGTTCTCCCCGTGTTCTCCTCATGTTCTCCTCGTGTTCTCCTCATGTTCTCCTCGTGTTCTCCTCGTGTTCTCCTCGTGTTCTCCTCGTGTTCTCCTCACAGTTCCTCGTGTTCTCCTCGTGTTCTCCTCATGTTCTCCTCATGTTCTCCTCGTGTTCTCCTCATGTTCTCCTCGTGTTTCCTCGTGTACTCCTCGTGTTCTCCTCGTGTTCTCCTCATGTTTCCTCGTGTTCTCCTCGTGTTCTCCTCACTCATGTTCTCCTCGTGTTCTCCTCACAGTTCCTCGTGTTCTCCTCGTGTTCTCCTCATGTTTTCCTCATGTTCTCCTCGTGTTCTCCTCACAGTTCCTCGTGTTCTCCTCGTGTTCTCCTCATGTGTTCTCCTCGTGTTCTCCTCGTGTTCTCCTCACAGTTCCTCGTGTTCTCCTCGTGTTCTCGTGTCTCCTCATGTTCTCCTCGTGTTCTCCTCGTGTTCTCCTCGTGTTCTCCTCATGTTCTCCTCGTGTTCTCCTCGTGTTCTCCTCATGTTCTCCTCATGTTCTCCTCGTGTTCTCCTCGTGTTCTCCTCACAGTTCCTCATGTTCTCCTCACAGTTCCTCATGTTCTCCTGGTGTTCTCCTCGGTGTTCTCCTCATGTTCTCCTCGTGTTCTCCTCATGTTCTCCTCATGTTCTCCTCGTGTTCTCCTCATGTTCTCCTCATGTTCTCCTCATGTTCTCCTCATGTTCTCTTCATGTTCTCCTCGTGTTCTCCTCATGTTCTCCTCATGTTCTCCTCTCCTCGTGTTCTCCTCGTGTTCTCCTCGTGTTCTCCTCATGTTCTCCTCATGTTCTCCTCATGTTCTCCTCGTGTTCTCCTGCAGACGGCGTTCCGGCGCTGGCGTCCTGCTCGCCTCAGGGTCACGTGGCGTTCTGGGACCTGGAGCGGCGGCAGATGACGTCACAGCTGAGCCACGCCCACCGCGGGGCCGTTGCCGGGGCGACGTTCGTGCACGGAGAGCCCCTATTGGTCACGAACGGCGGCGACAACGCGCTGAGGGTGTGGCTCGTGGAGGAGGGCGGGGCCAGGCTCCTGCGCTGTCGCCAAGGACACAGCGCCCCGCCCACCACCATCCGTCACCACGGCAACGACGGGAAGAACATCCTCAGCGCAGGTGAGGTCCTGGTCCGGTCCTGGTCCTGGTCCGGTTCTGGTCCAGTCCTGGTCCTGGTCTTAATTCTGGTCTGTGCAGGTCTGGACGGGACTCTTCAGTCTTTCTCCACGGTTCATGAACGATTCAACAAAAACCTGGGCCACGGTCAGTCCTGGTTTAGTCCTGGTTTAGTCCTGGTTTAGTCCTGGTTTAGGCCTGGTTTAGTCCTGGTTTAGTCCTGGTTTAGGCCTGGTTTAGTCCTGGTTTAGTCCTGGTTTAGACCTGGTTTAGACCTTGGTTTAGACCTGGTTTAGACCTGGTTTAGTCCTGGTTTAGTCCTGGTTTAGTTCTGGTTTAGACCTGGTTTAGACCTGGTTTAGTCCTGGTTTAGTCCTGGTTTAGACCTGGTTTAGTCCTGGTTTAGTTCTGGTTTAGACCTGGTTTAGTCCTGGTTTAGACCTGGTTTAGTCCTGGTTTAGACCTGGTTTAGACCTGGTTTAGTCCTGGTTTAGTTCTGGTTTAGACCTGGTTTAGTCCTGGTTTAGTCCTGGTTTAGTTCTGGTTTAGTCCTGGTTTAGTCCTGGTTTAGTCCTGGTTTAGACCTGGTTTAGTCCTGGTTTAGTCCTGGTTTAGTTCTGGTTTAGACCTGGTTTAGTCCTGGTTTAGACCTGGTTTAGTCCTGGTTTAGACCTGGTTTAGACCTTGGTTTAGACCTGGTTTAGTCCTGGTTTAGTCCTGGTTTAGACCTGGTTTAGTTAGACCTGGTTTAGACCTGGTTTAGACCTGGTTTAGTCCTGGTTTAGTTCTGGTTTAGACCTGGTTTAGTCCTGGTTTAGTCCTGGTTTAGTTCTGGTCTAGTCCTGGTTTAGTCCTGGTTTAGTCCTGGTTTAGACCTTGGTTTAGACCTGGTTTAGTCCTGGTTTAGTTCTGGTTTAGACCTGGTTTAGTCCTGGTTTAGTCCTGGTTTAGTTCTGGTCTAGTCCTGGTTTAGTTATGGTTTAGTTCCTGGTTTAGTCCTGGTTTAGTCCTGGTTTAGTTCTGGTTTAGTCCTGGTTTAGTTCTGGTTTAGACCTGGTTTAGTCCTGGTTTAGTTCTGGTTTAGACCTGGTTTAGTCCTGGTTTAGTCCTGGTTTAGTCCTGGTTTAGTCCTGGTTTAGACCTTGGTTTAGACCTGGTTTAGTCCTGGTTTAGTTCCTGGTTTAGACCTGGTTTAGACCTGGTTTAGTCCTGGTTTAGTTCTGGTTTAGTTCTGGTCTAGTTCTGGTCTAGTTCTGGTCTAGTCCTGGTTTAGTCCTGGTTTAGTTCTGGTTTAGACCTGGTTTAGTCCTGGTTTAGACCTGGTTTAGACCTGGTTTAGTTCTGGTTTAGACCTGGTTTAGTCCTGATTTAGTCCTGGTTAAGACCTGGTTTAGTTCTGGTTTAGTCCTGGTTTAGTCCTGGTTTAGGGTTTAGTCCTGGTTTAGTCCTGGTTTAGTCCTGGTTTAGACCTGGTTTAGACCTGGTTTAGACCTGGTTTAGACCTGGTTTAGACCTGGTTTAGACCTGGTTTAGTCCTGGTTTAGTTCTGGTTTAGACCTGGTTTAGTCCTGGTTTAGTCCTGGTTTAGTCCTGGTTTAGTCCTGGTTTAGTCCTGGTTTAGTCCTGGTTTAGACCTGGTTTAGACCTGGTTTAGACCTGGTTTAGACCTGGTTTAGTTCTGGTTTAGTTTTAGACCTGGTTTAGACCTGGTTTAGACCTGGTTTAGTCCTGGTTTAGTCCTGGTTTAGTTCTGGTTTAGTCCTGGTTTAGTTCTGGTTTAGACCTGGTTTAGACCTGGTTTAGTTTTGACCTGGTTTAGTCCTGGTTTAGACCTGGTTTAGTTTAGACCTGGTTTAGTCCTGGTTTAGTCCTGGTTTAGACCTGGTTTAGACCTGGTTTAGACTCCTGGTTTAGTCCTGGTTTAGTTCTGGTTTTGTTTTCCAGGTTCCATCGACAAAAAGAAAGAGAAAAAAAAGAAACACGGTTTGAAACATGAAGAACTGAGGCTTCCCCCGATCACCACCTTCTGCTCCGGTCAGTCCCCATCTAGTCTTTGTTTAGACCTGGTCCTGGTCTTAGTCCTGGTCTTGGTCCTGGTCTTGGTCTGGTCTTAGTCCTGGTCTTAGTCCTGGTCGTGGTCTTAGTCCTGGTCTTAGTCCTGGGTCTTAGTCCTGGTCTTAGTCCTGATCTTAGTCCTGGTCTTGGTCCTGGTCTGGTCCTGGTCTTAGTCCTGGTCTTAGTCCTGGTCTTGGTCCTGGTCTGGTCTTAGTCTGGTCTTGGTCCTGGTCTTAGTCCTGGTCTTAGTCCTGGTCTTAGTCCTGGTCTTAGTCCTGGTCTTGGTCCTGGTCTTGGTCCTGGTCTTGGTCCTGGTCCTGGTCTTAGTCCTGGTCTTAGTCCTGGTCTTAGTCCTGGTCTTAGTCCTGGTCTTGGTCCTGGTCTTAGTCCTGGTCTTAGTCCTGGTCTTGGTCCTGGTCTTGGTCTTAGTCCTGGTCTTAGTCCTGGTCTTAGTCCTGGTCTTAGTCCTGGTCTTGGTCCTGGTCTTAGTCCTGGTCTTGCTGGTCTTAGTCCTGGTCTTGTCCTGGTCTTAGTCCTGGTCTTAGTCCTGGTCTTGGTCTTGGTCTTAGTCCTGGTCCTTGGTCCTGGTCCTTGGTCTGGTCCTTAGTCCTGGTCTTAGTCCTGGTCTTGGTCTTAGTCCTGGTCTTGGTCCTGGTCTTAGTCCTGGTCTTGGTCCTGGTCTTCCTGGTCCTGGTCTTGGTCCTGGTCTTAGTCCTGGTCTTAGTCCTGGTCTTAGTCCTGGTCTTAGTCCTGGTCTTAGTCCTGGTCTTGTCCTGGTCTTGGTCCTGGTCTTGGTCCTGGTCCTGGTCTTAGTCCTGGTCTTAGTCCTGGTCTTGGTCTTAGTCCTGGTCTTAGTCCTGGTCTTAGTCCTGGTCTTAGTCCTGGTCCCTGGTCTTAGTCCTGGTCTTAGGGGTCGGCGTCAGTCCGACTGGGATTCTGTGGTTTCGTGTCATCGCGGTCGAAGCTCCGCCTCCACCTGGAACTATCAACGCTGCACCAGCGGAGCCCACCGCCTCAGGGCCCCGCAGTGTGAGGCCAACAGCCACGCCACGGTAACAGGACCGCACCTGACACACGACAGGACCGCACCTGACACACACACACGCCACGGTAACAGGACCGCACCTGACACACGACAGGACCCGACACCTGACACACACACACACGCCAACGGTAACAGGACCGCACCTGACACACGACAGGACCGCACCTGACACACACACACCTGACACACGGTAACAGGACCGCACCTGACACACGACAGGACCGCACTGACACACACAGGACCGCACCTGACACACGACAGGACCACCTGACACACGACAGGACCGCACCTGACACACACACACCTGACACACCACACACGCACACAGGACCGCACCTGACACACACACACACGCCACGGTAACAGGACCGCACCTGACACACACGCACGGTAACAGGACCGCACCTGACACACACACACACGGACCACGTACAGGACCGCACCTGACACACACACACGCCACGGTAACAGGACCGCACCTGACACACGACAGGACCGCACCTGACACACACACACGCCACGGTAACAGGACCGCACCTGACACACGACAGGACCGCACCTGACACACACACACGGTAACAGGACCGCACCTGACACACGACAGGACCGCACCTGACACACACACACGCCACGGTAACAGGACCGCACCTGACACACGACAGGACCGCACCTGACACACACACGCCACGGTAACAGGACCGCACCTGACACACGACAGGACCGCACCTGACACACACACACACGCCACGGTAACAGGACCGCACCTGACACACGACAGGACCGCACCTGACACACACACACACGGACACGGTAACAGGACCGCACCTGACACACGACAGGACCGCACCTGACACAACAGGACCACACAGGACCACACCTGACACACACATGGGAGGACGGCACCTGACACACTCTGATGTCACTTCCTGTCCCTCCAGGCTGTGGACATCACTTCCTGTGGACACTTCACTGTGATTGGCTGGTCGTGCGGCACCGTGGGCGTGTTTAATCTTCAGTCGGGTTTGTACCGCGGCGACTTCAGAGCCCCAGACAGAGGTAACCGCTTTAACCACTTTAACCAGTTTAACCAGTTTAACCACTTTAACCACTTTAACCAGTTTAACCAGTTTAACCACTTTAACCACTTTAACCAGTTTAACCGCTTTAACCAGTTTAACCAGCTTTAACCAGTTTAACCAGTTTAACCAGTTTAACCACTTTAACCACTTTAACCAGTTTAACCACTTTAACCACTTTAACCAGTTTAACCACTTTAACCACTTTAACCACTTTAACCAGTTTAACCACTTTAACCAGTTTAACCACTTTAACCACTTTAACCAGCTTTAACCAGTTTAACCGCTTTAACCAGTTTAACCACTTTAACCAAACCAGTTTAACCACTTTAACCAGTTTAACCAGCTTTAACCAGTTTAACCGCTTTAACCACTTTAACCAACCACTTTAACCACTTTAACCACTTTAACCAGTTTAACCGCTTTAACCAGTTTAACCGCTTTAACCAGTTTAACCACTTTAACCACTTTAACCAGTTTAACCGCTTTAACCAGTTTAACCACTTTAACCAGTTTAACCAGTTTAAACCACTTTTAACCAGTTTAACCAGTTTAACAAACCAGTTTAACCACTTTAAAAACCGCTTTAACCACTTTAACCAGTTTAACCACTTTAACCACTTTAACCAGTTTAACCGCTTTAACCACTTTAACCAGCTTTAACCACTTTAACCGCTTTAACCACTTTAACCGCTTTAACCAGCACAGAGGTAACCAGTTTAACCGCTTTAACCAGCACAGAGGTAACCAGTTTACCGTGTTTACTGAGTTCACCGAGCAGAGCCAGCAGGGCGAGCGTGGCGAGCGTGGCGAGCGTGGCCAGAGCGTGGCCAGCGTGTGCTCAGTTTGTTTGGGAGGTTCGTGTCGTGTTCACACTTTAAACGTCCCGACTGAGCAGGAGGACGAGGTTTTGGGAGTTTTGGAGTTTGGATCATGTGAGCGCAGAGTCACAGAGCGGACGGTCTGTGACGTCTGTGACGTCTGTGACGGTCTGTGACGGTCTGTGTGACGTCTGTGACGTCTGTGACGGTCTGTGACGTCTGTGACGGTCTGTGACGTCTGTGACGTCTGTGACGTTCGTGGCGGTTCGTGGCGGTTCGGCGGTTCGTGGCGGTTCGTGGCGGTTTCCTGGCGGTCGCGCGGTTCGTGGCGGTTCGTGGCGGTTCGTGGCGGTCGGTTCGTGCGGTCCGTGTGTGCGTAGTGGTGCTCTCGTACCGGAGCCACAACATGAACAACTGACTTGTTTTAAGGAGGAGATTGAGAAGGAGAAGGAGCAGGTTTTTGGTGGTGGTGTTTTGTGGTGAGTGGAGATGTGCTTCACTTCAGTCACATGGATCATGAACAGTTTTCTCTACTTCAGTGCAGAATAGTGACGTTTGTGTCTTGTTGATGACGTGTAGGTGGATGAATGTGACCTGACTGTTCACACTCAAGTCACATGTTAAAGATCAGATATGGATCAGTTTCAGGAGCACAGATCCAAGTGTCCTGGTCACATGTGAAAACATCACATCTGTGTGGTTCAGACGTCATGAAAAGATCAGATACAGAAACATAGAGACAAAACATCAGATTTGTGTCACTTCAGGAGCATCTGAACTCAGACTCAGTTGTTCATGTTGTGGCTCTGGTACGAGAGGAACTTTAAAATCTCCAGGTGCTCGATGTTCAGTGTTGGGAAGTTTACTTTTAAAATGTAATCCCCTACAGATTACAGATTACACACCCCAAAATGTAGTTTGTAACAGAATCCATTAAATTACTTAAAGTGAGTAATGTAATCTGATTACTTTGGATTACTTAATTTGCTGTAGAGAAACAAAGAGGAGGAAACTTAACTGTATTAAAAATATTATTGATAGAAGATGAGGAGACACGTCCACGCAGCCTGGTCCTGTTAAATCCTGGTTTAGTCCTGGTTTAGATTTAGTTTAGTCCTGGTTTAGACCTGGTTTAGATCTAGTTTTAGTCCTGGTTTAGTTTCGAGCAATGAGGGAAATTACCGAAAACAAAATAAAAAAATAAAAATAAAAATAATGTGAAAACAGGAAAATATCGCCATGTAATCCATTTATTTGAACAAAGTAACTGTAATCCAATTACCACTCACTGAAACAGTAACTGTAACTGAATACAGTTACTCATCATTTGTACTCTGATTACTCCAGTACATGTTGCTGTGGTTGATGTCGTTGTGTCTCCAGTGTCACATGTGGGACACTTTTGGACCGTTTCATGTTCACACTGGAGTCACATACAAGTCACATTTAACTGGAAATGTGAACGAGCTCGAAAAAACATCAGATTTCACCAAAAAATCTAAATTGAGCGTTAAACCTGCAGACTGAACGGAGACTTAGTTTTTGTGTTCATTTGTGCTCAGTCGTCTCAGTCTTTGTCTTTATAAGGTTAAAGTTTAAATGTGAAACAGTTGAGTGGCGCAGACGTAACAGATCCTCACACACAAGACGAGAACCTCTCCACACTTCACCAAGAACATTTAAAGGTCGTATGGAGGATTTTTTTGTTTTGTTTCAAATTGTCAATGAAAGTTTAAAATACCATTACAGAGACGCAGCAGCTTTGTAATTATGATGACCAAAAAAGAAAAAAAGAATGAAAATCCATCAACTGTGGACGTGTTGAGGCCAGATAAACATCAGCCAATAGAAAACGAGGCTGCCTCTTTATCTATTGGCTGTTAGGTCGTCAATCAAACTCCCTACGTTTCGAGTGTCACAGGGATTTCGTGGTTTTCACAGCGGTTCTGAGAGGCTTTTTAAAACTGTAGTTTCCTCACAGTTTGCACAAAGTTTGTTGAGACGGCGGACGAGAATCCACGACCAGTTCGCCGCAAAAAAAAGTCAGTTTTTGAGGTCGCTGAAAGACGAAGAGAAGGGGAAAAGGAGCGAAGCCAAACTGAGGTGATTCTTGGAGATTCCTTCCAGCGATGGCGCGAATGAAGCGGTCGAAGGGTCTAAAAACTGATGCATCGGTCACTAAATTATTTCTCAACAGTGATTGTGAACGTGCACTGGCTGTAAACAAATGTGATTTCTAGAGTAAAGAGGCGGGAGGAGATGTTTCTACTGAAGGAGCTGCACAACATTTGAAAAAGGACTGTCGCTGCAGCCTCTTTCCTTCAAAAATCCTCCATACAACCTTTAATATCGAATCACAGCGAGAAGAAGTCACAGAAACACAAACCACCAACAAAAGTCACACTTCTGCTCCAAAAACCGTTGAGTGTGGTGAACGGACACACACACGTGGTCCGTGTGCGCCTCAGCCTGGCGGGGGGGGAACGGGCTCTTCTGATTGGTCGTTTGTCCGCAGCGCACGGCGGCGCGGTGAGGGGCGTGGCCACAGACCTCCTGAATCAGCTGACCGTCTCCGCGGGCTCTGATTGGCTGCTCAGGTTCTGGAGATTCAAAACAAAGAAACTGGAACATGAACTACAACTCCCATCAGCCCCTGCTGCCCTGCGCCTGCACCGAGACAGGTACAGACCAGTCCTGGTTTAGTCCTGGTTTAGTCCTGGTTTAGTCCTGGTTCAGTCCTGGTTTAGTCCTGGTTTAGTCCTGGTTTAGATCTGGTTCAGTCCTGGTTCAGTCCTGGTTCAGTTCTGGTTTAGTCCTGGTTTAGTCCTGGTTCAGTTCTGGTTCAGTCCTGGTTTAGTCCTGGTTTAGTTCTGGTTCAGTTCTGGTTCAGTCTGGTTTAGTCTGGTTTAGTCTGGTTCAGTCTGGTTCAGTCTGGT